ATTTATTTATATCAAATGGCAGGAGTTTTGATAGTTATCATTAGCCCTTCAGTTGACATCGAAGTGAAAAAGGTCGAGATGGGGGGGGGGACAGAAGAGTGTTTCAAAGATGTAAAAGAGACAGACACAAAGCTGGAAAAAGGTGAGGTGAGTACGGTTGAAATATTCGTATTTGACATACAGTGGGTGGTGGTAGTTTGGAGTCTGAAGTCAACTGCCGGTTAATAGACTTTTTTGCCGTATGAGTATACCTTGCCCATGGTGCACCACGTGGAGGTAAGTCTATCGCACACCCCACTTTTCAACTTAATTCATCTGCACTAAGCTCACAGTCTTCTAATAATTAGGAGTTGTGTATGATTTATTCATTCAAAGAGATACGGTTTATTAAATTATTAGTAATTTTTAGAACTTGAATCTGTAACACTGCCAAAATCTTTCCATATTCAAGTAAAATATTCTATCTGAGTCTTTAACATCCATAATGCGGTTGGCCTTACATTATTTTGAAGTTCAAAACTAAAGTAGACAGTCTGATCGCTTTGATTTTGAGTTTTAACTTTTGGAGCTTGAACCTTCACGTATGCAAACAGGGGCCATGGGGTTCTGGGTTCATATAAGAGTATTTATTTCTTATCCAATAGTTTTCGAAAATTGCCCTACGCGTTAAATTCTCAGACAAAGCTCTTAAGACCTGGATATTTAAAAAAATTAGTAAAATGATAATTAGTCATATAACTCCCTTTGATTAAGGACACATTAGCAATTTCAGAAGTCGGTTCTAGAAAAATGTCATCTTGTTTAACATTAGGGGAGGATTTCATTTCTTGAAAGAAACACCTTTCCCTCTATACGTTTTTCCCATTATTTTGCTTAACAAAAAGTGATGATGAGGTTTGCATAATTAGAGCCCACTACAAATAGAATTGATGAATAGAAATCCTCAATATTTGTCAATGACGTTCTATCTATGTTAGTTCCAGACATGCACACTTTAGAAAGTTGACCGCAAGGGATAGTTGTCTTAAATCTGTAACGAATTGAACTCACTCAAGCACATTCTTTTACTAAGTTCAGTAGGTTTAACATGTGCATTAAGATAGAGGCTCTAGGGGTGGGGAGCTGTTTTTCCTATGTTATGGATCGGTTTCCGACTGGATGAAGAGAAGTTGATTATCTATGCGTTCTAATTGCTTCTTTTATCTAAATTTTCTTTTCAGAACAAAGTTCATTTCTGACAGTTGGATGATTGCCAATGACCTTTTGCCCTACCATTTGGGTGGCTATTATGATGAAGCGTAAGCAATATATCTGTTTGCAGATTGATATCTTCGCTTACCAAAATAGTATCAAGTAATATCATCATTTGTACTCTTCTACAGATCACTCACTATGCCAGTCGGTGAGTATTTGAAGTCGAAGAACAAGGAGAAAATACCTCAAATAGGGAATACATGCACATTACTTGATGCTAGGGCACTGACTGGTGGGCAACTGGCCATGGTGACTCGCAAGTAAGCACTCTTGAACTGGAATGAATACTACTTAAATGATGACGAATGCAAATTATGAATAAGCCTTTGCTTTATTTAGTGAAGCTTACTATGGAATCTACGACCCGTCTCAAATTCTTCAGAGGCTTCTGACGGGCGAGGTTGACAGTTTAATTGAAGTTGGAAAGGTTGTGGACAAGAGCTATAAGAGGGTAATTTCAAAATTTTTCTATTACATTATGGTAGTTCTTACTGAAAACACCGTAATGTAACATACATTCAATTGATTTGAGTAGAAAACTTCTTGAAGCGGTTAGATCAAGCCTTAAGCCATGATTTGTATTATAAGTAAAATATGCTTCTCAACTTAATCAAATCTGAACACCGCGAATATTAGCTGCAATTGTTGCATCGATGGGTTAGATCTTGAGATTTGAACGTCTAAGTGGAAGGCGGTGGACAACTCTGAAGCGAAGGGGACTAGATGTCCTAGATTTTATTCCATCTCCACCCCAGCACTATCTATTTGGATATTTTAATAATTCCTCCAATGCGTATGGTACACAAATAAGCCTCAACCAACAGCATCATTTTTTCGACTTAAAAATCTCAACAATATCGAAGAAGTAGAACCCATCGTGTGAATAACGGTTATTGTGTTTGTACGTTTAGTTATTAAAGTACAATTTGGGCTATGATGAGCATTGATTATTGATTGGCTTAGAGGTCTCTACACTCTGGATCGTACTTTCTCCCTAACGCGATCACCAACACGTCGAATGTTCCAGACTGCTCGAGAGCCCATGAGGTTCCGTGGTTCAGTCACGTTAGCATTGTTCTCTCTTGCTTTATTGCTTTCTTATAATAATGTTCAGTGATGTATCATAGCTGCATGCATAACAAGTATTTTAGTCGATAGTTCCATTTCTAATTGTACTTATTTCGTCCCCCCCCCCCCCTTCTATTTATTTCAGGTGAAGAAATCGGATTCAATGTCGAAGGTTCTTCGTTTTTCCGCCCATTTCCCATATATTATTGTTATTGGTGATGATGCAAGTGAAGGTAGGAACATGAACTTCGATTATCTGTGGTTTTATACAAGCATTATACTTTTTGTTCTACTTTAGGAGCTTACAAGATTGAAAGCGCTGAAATGCTGGGTTTTGGCCATTAAATCACATTCCCACAGCTGATAAAAATGGGCTTTTGATATTGCTTGATGAAATTTGTTAAATGAAGTTATGCTTGAAATAAAAAAAAAACTTTTATTGATATATTTCCAATCTTTGTCATTCTTGTCCGTTTTTTCAAATTTATTTGTCCATGTTTGCCTAATAACGCTTGGCCCTCAACCGATTTAGCTTTGTGAAGAGGTATTTTCGTTCAAAACACCCAGTATTTGGTTATTTTGGCAGGCTTTTAGTTGAAATAGCGGCATTGTTGAATTACTTCTTATTGACCCCGATTTTTCACTTTTTTAATGTAAATAAACACAGCAGATGCGGGACTTTTCAAAACTGGTGGCTTCACTGGCGTAAATATTTATTTATTTATATCAAATGGCAGGCATTTTGATGGTTATCATTAGCCCTTTAGTTGACTTCAGGCTTCACAGAGGGGAGGGAACATCAAATTGAAAAAAAGTCGAGAGAGGGGGGGGGAACAGAAGAGTGTTTCAAAGACGAAGGTAGAAAAGAGGTGAGGTGAGTACTGTGGAAGTAGTCGAATATAACATACAGTGGGGTGATGGAAGTTTGAAGTGAGAAGTCAACTGCCGGTTAATAGACTGCCATATGATTATACGTTGCCCAGGGTGCACCACGTGGAGGTAAGTCTATCGCACACCCCCTGGCGTAAATATCACAGTAACACAAACCCAATCAACAGTTACTTAGGCTAAAGACGAATTGAATATAATGAAGTGATCTTTACAACACTAAAGGCTTATCTAATTGAAGTAAATGACGTGCTTTTGTGAAAATTGAAAGGAAATAAATATTTTAGACCAGGTAGCCTTGGTGTCTTTATTACAATTTCATACGTAAAATATATTAGTAGAATTGCATTGGTTTAAATCAGCCTATGATGGAAAAAAGACAATCATATCGACCCGCAAGGAATCGAAATAATCGCTGACCTATTGCCGTTGAACTGCGGTTCCTCAAGACGAGATAATGGGTATGGAAAATCGATAAAATTAATTAGTCTTCCGGCCATAAGCTCCATAAACTTCTTTTCCAAAAAGATATTAATCACTCAGGAATCTCTAGTTAATTACCTATAATGATTAAATGCACATGGAGCTATTTGTTGCCTTAATAGTGAACTGGGTGGGAAAAATGTCTCGCCTCTATTTTTACAATTAGGTTAGCATGGCATATTTTCTCGCATTTTTGAACTTCCTTTACGCCTACCTTGTGGACACAAAGTGATAACATTTAGATGACTAATTAATTCAAGGCAACACAGCAAGTGGTGGAAGTTTAATACAGACATTACGAAGAGCTTGTGACTAAAGGAACAGTTTGGAGGGTGGAGAAAAGGTTAGTCAGGGATGAGTCAATGGGAAACGATGATTTGATTTGATTGATTTCAAATGGCAGGCGTTTTGATGGTTATCATTAGCCCTTTAATTGACTTCAGGCGTCACAGAGGAGAAGGAACATCAAAGTGACAAAATTAGAAGGGGGGGGGGGAACAGACAAAAGGTAGAAAAAGGTGAGGTGAGTATTGTGAAGTAGTCGAATATGACATACAGAGGGGTGATGGTAATTTGAAATCAGAAGTCAACTGCCGATTAATAGACATTTTTGCCGTATGAGTATACGTTGCCCATGGTGCACCACGTGGAGGTAAGTCTCACACACATGGGAAAACGATAATGGACATAAGTTATTAGGATTTAAGGGCAAATTGGAATTTAAATCAGACGTAAAGTGTAATCTTCAGGACCTTAATGGACTTATAGGAATCTGAATAGTCTGATTTCATACATGTTCATAAAGTCTCACGAAAAGGAGGACAGCTATTTCGCATTCTACGATACGAGCCTGGATTTGCCTCATAGTAGCCACAAGCAATATGCAGACTAGAAGAGACATCAGGGATTTTATGGTGGATCCAAACGATCAGATGACTTTCAATGAAGTAATTTTAGTGGGTATTTCTTTGAGTTTATAAGTCCGTGGAACTTATTGCAAAATGAGAACGAAAGGACTGAAGAACATTCATAACAAATATAACCACTGCAAAAACATTCTTAGTAAGTGAAAAAAAAAATAAAATCAGCATTTACTAAATGCGTTGTGTAATTCACAAGGTAAGTTTATTTCCTTGTCGATACAGATTGGAATAACCATTAGTTGAGAGCCGTACTCCTATCTGAGTTTGATATCTTCAAACCTCAGGATAAAATCAATAGATTTCAGTTTAAGATCAGGAAAATTTTCAGGTAGGTAAATATTAGGTTGGCAACTAAGTCATTGTCGATTTCAAATAAGAAGGCAAATTCGGAATTTTTGTTTAAAAATATAACTTTATTCAATTAGATATTGGCCGTTCTTGTCGATGACCTTTTTCCATCGTTCTGGCAGAGTAAAAATTCCCCCTTCGTAAAATGTCTGGTCTTTGCTATTAAAAAACTGAATTAGGTGTGATCCGACATCATCCGCGTTGTTAAAAATTTTACCATTTAAAGAGTTTTGCATGGAACGAAACAAATGGTAATCCGAAGGCGCAAGGTCAGGGCTATATGGTGGGTGTGACAAAACATCCCAACCCAGTTCCAATAATTTTTGCCGAGTAACCAAAGATGTGTGGGGCCTTGCGTTATCATGATGGAAAACAACACCCTTCCGATTTGATAATGCCGGCCGCTTATCTTCAATTGCATCCTTCAGTTTTTCGAGTTCTTTAACATACACATTTGAATTTATCGTTTGGTTCTGCGGCATGAGTTCAAATACAAAATTCCTTTATGATCCCACCACACTGACAGCATAATCTTTTTTGGTGAATCTCTGCTTTTGATACTGTTTGGGCTGGTTGATCTTGCTTCACCCATGATCTCTTGCCAGTAACATTGTTATAAACTATCCACTTTTCGTCGCCAGTAACTAGGTTCTTCAGAAATGGATCATTCTCATTCTCATTGCGTTTCAGTAGCGGCGAATCACAGATGCTAATCCGTTGCGTCAAATGAATTTCCTTTAACTGGTGAGGGATCCATAAATCAAGTTTCTTGACATAACCAAGGGTTTTTAATTTTTTTTTCAATGCATGTATGCGACACATTGAGCTTCTCTGCAATATCTCGTGTTGTGCTGTGACGATTTGAATCGATAATGGCCTTGATATGGGTTTCATCCACTTCGACTGGGCGGCCAGATCGTTGTGAATTTTTCAGTGAAAAATCACCGGAACGAAATCTTGCAAACCAATTTCGACACTGCCTTTCTTTTAAGGCTTCATCTCCATATACGGCACATAACTTCTTTTGTGCTTGCGATGCGTTCTTGGCTTTTCGGAAGTAATACAATAAAATGTGTCAGAAGTGCACGTCCTGTTCTTTTATTTTTAAATTGAGATAAAAACAAAACTAAAGAACTAAACAAAAAAATTTTTTACTAATTAACCTAGAAGCCCATACAGTAAGAAAAAAATATAGGTTAGATGCTCTGGCCACGTTAACAAAACAAAAGAAAGTATAGAGTGAATCCGTCAACAAAAACGGCAATGACTTAGTTGCCAACCCAATAGTACTATTCATCAACCTTGGTGCCATTTCTACAACCCTTGAATTCCTTTGTTTACGTTGAAACCGTAGTAGTTACGACAGCAGATCTCAAAAAGGTTAAATTTACTGTAAAACAAATTGGTGACACTTCCCAACCGTGTTAGCCGTCTATTTTACCAAGGTAAACAGAGAATTATGAGATTTCGTATCATTTTATAAAACATCTACTTATTTAAGATTAAGTAGAATTAAATTTTGAATACTTTTGAATTTGGAGGTTTCAATGGACAGAGCTTGCGAATGTACGTCTGGTTGCTGTTATTTTCTATTTATTCCACCACCATAGACCATCTTTTACATTTACGCCAGTAAACATTTCAGATATTTGTTTGGGATCATTCAAATGGGGTATTTTTTAATCCATTACACGTTCCAATCTTATGAGAATCGATGATGCTCATCAGAGCTTAATAACATAAAACTATGGACATTAAGTTAGCACTATAATAAACCAACAACTTTGCAATACATCCATTGCTAAAGAATCTTATGAACTTACCTATTCAAATGACTTTCCACGACAATAATAGTTAAATATAATTTTGTAAGAACCATGTAGACTTGAAGTGCTTTAGAATTTGAAAATCATTAATGGACCTAGTTAAATTTGGAAACACCTCAAGCACACTGAATAATATATTTCACCAAAAAATGTATTAACGACTGGGAATCTATTTCGAATTCATTTTCAACGAGCTAATATCTTTAAAAAAGAGATACTTGACGTCGCATAGTGGCATCCATATTGGCAAAAATAACGAAGGTTGAATTAGTTCATTTTCGATTCTAATTGGAATTTACTGCCATTCGATTAAAAATAACAATTAAATTATAATATTGTTCTCCTCTAATTTAAAAGTATAGCGTTTCATTTCTACTATCTAAGGATTACAAGGAATCATTTTGTCTTCTCAAACTCATAAAGAAAAAAGTAACTTGCCATGGTAAGGCGGATTCGTCCTGATTATATAATACCGATCAATAAAATCGATTATCAATGCTCTTTAACGGTGTCAATTGGACGCAGTTGAAATTAAACACAATATTTTGAAATCAAAACAAATTAAATTTGCTTCGTTAAAATGTTATGAGAAATTGTTTAGTAAATCCTTAGGAATCTATTAAAATTCACATTTTGAAAAAAACCACTAATTTCTCCCTAAAAAATTTTCTGAATATTTGATTAAATCTAATTTATATGTCCCAGATACTTTCTCTCCAGATAATTTACGACTAAAATAAAATTATTCCAATTTGTTATATCACGAAATTGTTTATTAAAAATACCCAATTTGCTTTGCGTTAAAAATTGACTTTAGGCGCATTTAAAATGGGATAGAACTCTCGCTCTGGTTAGTTTCAGATTCCGGCATAATTAA